CGGGCTGCGTCTCCGAGCGGGGGCAGGAGGGAAGGGGAAGGCGAAGGCGGGGAGCAAACGGGAGGAGGGGAGGAGTGTGCGCAAGGGGAGGGAGGTGGGGGAGAGAGAGTGTGTCTATTTCTGGCTCGGGAGGGGGAGGTATCTGCGAGCGGAGCTCCGGGGCGGATGAGTGGGGGGTAAGGGGGAGATAAAGGATCCGACCCGTTTTTCTCCTGGCTTTCCGCGCAGAGGCGGGGCGGGTTCTTGGGTTCTCGGAGAGCACGGGTGGCCCCCTGCCGCGTCCGGGAGAAAGATCTGTGAGGAGACCGTGGGGGTGCAGGTAAAAGAGACCGAGAGGGCGGCTCGGGATGTGGGCGGCAGAGTGGGTCTGTGGGGCCTGGGAGAGGTGTGATATCCAGGTTGCTAGTTCTCCACCCCCTACCCAAAACCACGGTCACTTTTCCTCCAGGAAACTCCCAGTCCCACCCTACTTCAGTCTCTGAGGTTGCCCTTCTGAGTATGCGGGGTAGGACGCGGGTGGCTTGGAGAGACAGGACCAGAGGACATTGGAGGGAGGGAGTAACTCTTGGGATGTGGAGGCTGGATTTCTATTCCAGTTGACCGCATGACCTTGTCAAAGACATTGAAGCCCCCCCTCTGGCTCTCTGTCTTCTGTTATAGTGGTTATAATACCAGCTTCATAGTTAAGGGGTCTTTGGAACTGTAAAGCCTTGTGTCAAACCTAGGAAATCAGGAGGAGGCTTAGCACTGAGTCCCTTGCCTGCCAGAGCTAAAGCAGGGCTACTGAGCAATTTAAGAAACCATTTCCCTAGCCCTCTTTCCTTCCCTCCTGTCTGTGTCTCCCTAGAGGAGAGGGATGGGGTGGAAGGGGAACAAGAGCCAGAGAGAGTAAGCAGCAGTTTGCCTAGGACTGTACCTCAGAAGAGACACTGCCCATCCTCCCATGACCCAAGTCAGGGCCAGGTTGCCTGAGCAAGAGGCTCTTAGCAAAAGGTTCTCAAAAAAAAAAAAAAAAAAAAAAGAGAGAGAGAGACAGGAGAAAGTGAAGGGGAATTCTCTGAAAGCAAAACTTGCTCCAAGAAGGGACAGATCACAGATTGAGCATACACTGGGGATTGTGAATCCCTAAGAACTTTTTGCCAGAATGTGCTAACCATCAGATTATCCCCCCACTCCATCCCCAACCTCCATCTCTGCAGTTCCCTCCCCACCTTCCTCTTGAAGAGCCCTACATCTGAGTCTCATGGTTCACACACTCTGCTAGCACAAATCATCACAGCCTGCCTGGGATGAGAGGTATATGTGTATGTGTATTTGTCTGTCTCCTCCAACAGCACAGAAGCTCTCCTAGTACAGAACTGTGTCTCTCAGCACCTTGCAGGGAGCAGGTAGTGCAACTGTGTTGGTAATATGGATTTGGAAGCCTGAGCGTTCTGCACTGGGTCTGTACCTCTTGGGTTCTAGTAGTATCTCAGGACTCTGCCTTCCATGATCCCAGAGATAGATTTAGACACCATATAATCTGCAAAAACAGGAATCATAGCAAAGAGGATTAATGGGCTTATCATAGTACTGAGAACATTGAGTTCTCGAGCAGAGGGGTGTTTGGTAAGAAGCATGGACCCTTGGTGTAGCCTTGGAAATACAGTGAGAGATGGAGATTCTGCCCTCAAGGGACTCAATGTCTGGCAGAGCATACAAGGCACACAATACAAGAGTTGAGAAATAATAACCCTGTTCCTGTGAAAAAGCACTGTCACACACATCAACATATTCATCACAGATAGTCAGACATAGGTATGTGTATTCTAATTACAGGAATAACAAGAAGCCCTGGGAGTGGAGGAGAGTAGGTGGGTGCAAAGATTTTCCAAAAGGTTCTGTGGCACCTCTGCAATGAACATTGCAGACTGGCCTCAGAGGCCTGTGTCCAGCACTTAGGAAATTCAGGGGTGGAACCAGGACTTGTGATTCCTGATAGGAAATGACAAGCAATAAGGAACTGACTGAAGGGATATGAGCGGATCATACCAGAACTTAGCCAGGGCACAGAGAGTGCCCGGAGGATGTGGCCAGTCATGGGACTTTCTCTTTGGGTAGACATGGGATACTCATGTTTATGCCCAAACATGAGATCCCAGCTCAGCAGAGGATCAGGTCTACCTTTGGTGCCAAATCTTTGAATGAGCACAAGCACGCCCTTCCTCCCCTATCCCACAGGCTATTTTTAATGAAATCACAAACCATCACTTCTACAGTCCTGATCCTTACTCACTGGTCATTCTCTAATTTATACAAGGTGCCCACTAATTCAATCTCATCTTTCCTAAAAATAGCCATTTGAGAATCTGAAGACACCAAGTCTCTGATTTACCAAGTTACAATTGTTCTTACTTGTTGTCTCTATGCTCTCTTCCTACATATAAATTTACTTTCCTTAGCAGACACAGGGAAATTAACTGGTTACCATCCTGGCTGAAAAACCTTATTTCCACTGTGACTCATTCCACTCAGTGTAAATTGCTGGGGGCAGAACCTGGTGCTCTCTCCCCTGGTCTAATTTGGCCTCTTGTCTCTTGCCTCCATGTCTGTAGGTTACCTCCTCTCAAATTCTCTTGTTGCTCTACCAACCTGCGTGTACTTGTCATGGGATGCCCCTGTCTGGAGACCTGATCTTCCTTCCTTCCTTCCTGGCTATTTTACTTCCTCATTTGATCTGGAATGCTTCAGCCTGGTCCCTTTCCTCTCTTTATTCCTCTTTGTTCCACTGTACCTCCTCTCATGGGGCATCATATTCCCCAGACCCCAAGTCCTTTCGCTTTCTTCAATAAACAACTCCTGAAATTCTACTTCTTTTGAGAAGAGAAGAGATGGTTGTCCAGAAGAGAGGCGTGGCCTCCTCCCCGCCATATAAACCTCGTGTTCCATACTCCTTTCTGCATGAAATGTCACCAGTCAGGTTGAGATGGAAAACCCCTTCAATGAGCATCTTGTGAGTTAATTTGGTGCCAGTTCCTCTGAGTGCCAGTCTTCCCTCTGCCCACACGGTCCTGCTTGTCTTCCCACTGTCATTCTTTATAGGGTCTTGCCATGGCCAGTTGGTAGTCCCTTTAAATAGTCACCTTGGCATCCAAGAAGTTTCCAGTACTCCCTAATGCAACCTCTCCCTCTATCTGGCTCCTTTTTTATTCCTTTCACATCCCCTGAGTTTCCCACTATCCTTTACTGCAGTGGGAGTGCTCTGCTGCCGTGGCAACAGCCATTCCAGCCTCAGTCAATAAAGCCAATATGTGCAGAATGTTTCCTGAAGTGATCCCTAAAAAGAGAGGAACCTGCCCTGTTACATTATCCCCAAATCTAGCCCTCAGCCCCTCTCATTCAGCCATTTTCCCCAAATGACAGGCTTAAAATTGTCGACTGAAGAGAGATCTTACAACTGCTGAAGGAGCTATGTGATGAAGGAGAGGCCCAGCTGGACAGAGAGTGGGTGCTGGTGATGTCAGTAACCTAAGGAGGCCGGATCCTGCCCAGTTTCTAAAGGGGTGGTGGGGAAAGAGGCTGGTTTGAAACCATGAAAGTCCCCAATTCCCAGTGCCCCAGAGATCACCCCATTCCTCTCTCTCCAAAGGCATTGCTAGTTTCTGGAATGGAGAGAGAATGAGTGATTTAACCACATCTCTTGACCAATAACTTAAGGCAATTTGAAGAATGAAGATATAGGCATACAGCCAGGGTGAGGCATGCTGTGTGATTTCACATTCTCACACCCCTGTGATTAGAAACGGATGCAACCCTGGTGTCTGGGTTTGAGGGCTCTGCCTATTAGGACTGGATTAGGGGAGGAGTGGGAAGGCAGTGAAAGAGAGGAGATGGTAGGAGGGAAGGCTAGGCTGCCTCCACACTGTTGACCTCGAAAGGTGACCTTGGGAGAAGGGGGGATCTGAGGGAAGAAGGAGTGGACAGGTGAGTCCATACTTGGCTCTCTCCAGGGCTAAGGGCAGAGCAGGGGAGAGGAGAGACTCTTCATGATTTCTGGGTTCACAATCAGGATCTGGAGAGCAAGGGCTGGGAACCCAGCCATATGTCTCTGCAAGCCTAGCCCACTTACCCTGGACCAGTGTCAAGTTGCCACTGGCCCAACTGATAAGTGTTTTCTTTATGTTTTTCCTGCTTAGACCCTATGATGGGTCTCTTCATCACCTCTGCAGCAGAATCCCAACACCTCTGCCTTTGCGCAAAGCCCTACAGCCACTTCTTTCTGCCCTTTTCTCCACCATGTCATTCCCCTATGTTATGCCACCTATCAGTAGAGACTTATTTTGTTTTTTTTTTTTGAGTTGGAGTCTCACTCGGTCGCCCAGACTGGAGTGCAGTGGCCGCTCCCGGCCACCGCAGCCTCGACCTACTGGGCTCCGGCCATCCTTCCACCTCAGCCTTCTGAATAGCTGGAACTACAGGCACGCGCTACCATGCCCAGCTAATATTTTTGATTTATTGTAGAGATGAGGTCTTGCCAAGTTGCCCAGGCGGGTCTTGAACCCGTGGGCTCAAGCAATCCACTCACCTCAACCTCCCAAAGCGCGGGATTACAGGTTGAGCCACTGAGCCCGGCGCGACTTACTTTTATTTTAGAGTTGTGGGGTACAGTAGGGATTTACTACATAAGTAGGTTGCATGCAGGTGATGTTTGGGTTTCTAGCCGGCCTTCTCTCCCCCTGATAGTGGACTAGGTACCCAGTGTGTTGCCACGTGCCCCCCTCCCTCCTCCTTTCCTTCCTCCCCAGTAGTGCCCAGCATCTGCTGATTCCACCCTTGTGCTGGGTGACTAGTGTTTAGGGTCCACTTATGAGTGAGCCCATGTGGTATTCAGTTCTTTGTTTCTGTTATAGTTCACTTAGTATGATGGTCTCTAACTGCAACCAAGTCAGCAGGAACTGCTTGAGCACCTAAAATGTGGGCAAGGCCAGTTTGGAGACGGTTGAAATAGCTGGTGCCAGAGCACAGAGTCCTGTCTGCACGCAGACAATGAACTCTCCACTATTCATACTTTGTTCAGGGCCAGCCATGATAGGTGCTGGAGGATACAGTAGAGAACAAACAGACCCAAATTCTTTTTTTTTTTTTTTTTGAGTTGGAGTCTCACTCCATTCCCCAGGCTGAAGTGCAATGTGGCACACTCACAACCACCTGAGTGTCGACCTGCTGGGCTCCCGTAATCCATTTACCTCAGCCTTCCAAGTAGCCAGAACTACAAGTAGACGTGCACTACCGTGCCTGGTTATTTTTTTATTTAT